GCATTCTGATACTCATAGCATCTTTCTGTTTCACCTGGGCTGAGAAGAAATGAGATGTCATGGTTTATCATGATGGTACTAATGTAGAACTATTGTTTCTGTGATTTGTTGAGTGTATTTAAATTAGTGAAATAAAGAAATGGACATTTGGTCTTTGTATTTCTGTGAGATATGCCAATATGTCACTTTATGTCCGCAGGGCATGTCTTCATTCAAAATGTCACATTAGTAATTACTTCCTCCAAATGTTCCTCAGAATGCATAGATATGAAAACAAAGATCTTATTAATATCTATATCATCTTTTTCATTTTTTCCATTTTATATTGAGAATCTTGACATCTATCTAAGAGAGTATGCTTAAACAACATTAGAAATACAAAGGGATTGAAATATTAACCAATATATGGATAATTGAAGAAAATTATGAATCAAATATTTTGTTTAGGTATTTATAGTTTCTTTTTGTTTGAGTTCCATGTTTCTATTGTGAGCAGTGTATTCTATAGCTGTCAGTGCTCACTCTATCATAAAGGTCTCCTGACCCCAAGCCTCAATGAAATACTTTCCCTGTTATGGCTAGCTGGGTTTGCCTGTTTATATTATTCTTTAGTCTGGAATCTTGTACTTAATCAGATAACTTCATTTTCATATACTCAGTCTGAAGTTTTTGTTCAGCAGAAAGATTAACACATATAATTGTAGACTAAAAGGTATTTATTTAATTTATTATTTTAAGAGAATTTTTTATATTTTCTTTATTTTGCCATGTGATGCAACAGTAATGGAGCCACATCGACCATATCCCATTGTCTCCCGAAAGAGAAGACTTGTAGCTCGATGTTGTCACTAATCTAGTATCCCCTGTTACATAACCTTGGTATGCCCCCATCTTCCTTCCTTTAACTCTATTATGTAAATATATTCTATTCAGTGATTTTATGCCACCTTCCTTGCCAAACATTCTGTTAATGCTACATGATATTGACATATCAGGTACACAATGTAATGTCAATACAAACCATGTCTATACAATATATTAATGAATACAATATCAATATCTATACAATATCATATGTGTTTTTGACCAGATTGCTCATTCTCAAAGCCTTAATGCAGAAACTCTCATTTTCAATTTCAATAAGATTTAGAATTTAAGGTTTCAATTACAAAAGCTATAGGTTATTTAAACAATAGAAAAACAATAATTTTTTGCTTTAGAGGAAATATTCTAATGGTTCCTTATATTCTGTAAGGGTTTGTTCTCCTGACACTATAACTTCTAGTGGCATCTGTCAGTCATACATTGAATAGTCAACAAACTGAGTTGAAACCCAAACATCAATAACCAAAGTTAAGCTTTATAAACGTTTGCACGATTTGATTGATTCATACAAAGTGAAATTCATGCTATAAGTAATTTATATACAAATTGGTGGTAATGTTAACCTACATAGACATATTAATATGTTAATTTGTGTTTTATGTTTTGATCTGAAGTGGATGGGTATAAGTTTAGGCATTTCTTGAATATTTCTGTGGTCATACTGAGTCATAGGGTGATAACCAAAAGTAGTTTGAAAGTATGAACTGTTTGTGGTTTCTGCTGTTTGCCAGTGATTGGCCAGCTTAGTGTGATTTCCTAACTGAGTTGAGTTTGTATAGAAAGTGGGTGTTGATTTGGGGGCTACTTAATCTTATTTGGTAGTTCACTGATACTTGTGGTACATACAGTTGAAACAGACAGACTGGCAGAAACCAAACATGTAGTACATAGCGAGATTCAGATAGAGATGGGCATTGGATTTTTCAAACCCTAACATTACACATAGTATAATGGATAACGACTTGGATTTTTGACCAAAAAAGTTGAAGGCTATACTCCTATATAGTGCGCTTCGAACCAAAAAAGTTGGAAGTTTTTAGTCCTATACAGTACGCTTTGAATCTTTCCTATATGTTAGTTTGATCAAGGAAGAAGTGCAGATTTGATTAGTGGCAGATCGTGCAACAGTTATCTCAACAGTGATCCATCTTCACAGTTAACATGTAGGAAGTGGGCCAGATAGGCAAGCTAAGAGATATATGGGTTTAACCTTTCTTACATCAGAAGCTTGTAGCTATAAATCCATCGTGTGAAGTATAGCTTGGATTAATAAACAGGTACGGCACCTTTGCATTACAATAAATAATCAATGTCAATCATTTTATCTGGATACTAGTAAATGATGATGATGCCATCGTTTGTATGAGATTTGATATGTGGAACAAATGATGCATTTAAATAATTGTCGAGTATGCTTATTATGTTGGAGAGAAGTAATTCATTCCAGTTTGGAAATCTTTTGGAAGAATTTGTACCAAGTTTCTGCTTATGATTTGGTGCATTTTTTAGTTTCTTTACTTCAAGGTGAGATTGGTCATAGAAAATGTCTGATGTTCTAGTACATATGTAACATTCCTTCCTTGCACATATTGGTAATGGAAATCACAGAATGTATTCAGGCAGTCAAGTTTCAATTTAGCTTGAGAATTGCAATTATGAATCGTTAATTAGCCGTAATTTGTTCATCGGTCGTTATTTTGATGCATATAACCATTCTGAATTACTCATATCTTTTCACTAAAATCATCCCATGGTTGAAGAGAAATGAAATGTCATGGTTTATCAGATTTTAACATTCTCTGATTTCCCATCTATTCAACTGTTTACAATAATATTTGAATGACTGTCTAAATTTCTGACATTTGTTTATATGATTTAGAATGTTGACTTTATTCCTTGCCTATTCCACTTTTGTTTGCTCTGTTTTGCTTTTCAATGCATCAGTCATATATTTTTTCAAGGGTTGACATTCAGTCAATACTTCTATATTGATTCAACTTCTTTTTAGACCATCATTATACTTTATTGATCTATAAAGACCTCGCTGTTGGACTCTAGAACTACATTTTTCATATCAGCTGTAAATTGAGTATATTAATACAAACCTTAGGCTTTATAATACCCAATTGCTTCTCTTTAGGTAGGAATTAAATGTAATTCATTCATTATTTTTTTCGTGTGAAAATTACAAGTAGATGCCAATAGTTTTTATGTGACATTCCTTTTATAGACACATCATTGTCTAATTGTTATGCATATTTTTTATGGTATTTGCAACCGTGACTATTTTATGTGACATGTCGTAATTGAGAAATTTAATACAAATAGTACATATTATTGGATTTCACTAAGAGGTAAATTATGTCAATGTTTAAAATTTCTCTCAGGTCATTGAAATTTTACTTCTTTTCTCTAAATCAGCTGAAGAATTTTCTTTTACATTTTAATATCATTTAGAATATTGATTTCAGGTTACTCTGTTCCTCTGTTCATTGTTGTTTCACTCTTTTCAAATCTATAATGCATTTCAAAGTATGACCACCGTTAGATTTTAGTGATAGGTATGCATGAACATAAAATGTGGCAGTTGATGTATATTTTTCATTGTGTTGAAACCATTATGATGTCACTTTTTGTGATGCGATGTGATCCATTGTTTTAAAGCTGACATGTGTTTGTTGGCTTCAACTTCAGCATTGCCGGCTAATACTAGGAAATGTCACTTTTAGATGACAATAACATATAATATTAATGATCTTATTTGGGAGTTGTCACCATGTCATGTTTTCTTCAGGGAATTAATTAATAATTAACATAACGTTTAATTGTATTGAAGGCATTAACTTCCCTTGTTAAGGTGTCACAGTCTGCTACTTCTAATATCATTGAAAACAATGCAACATAAGATCTATTATATATGATAAGTGATTCCTATTGATACTGAATAATAAAAACACTTAGTTTATATTTATAAGTAAATTTTAAATCATTAACAAGTTTTAGACGATAATGATAAATAATTTGAATTGTTTTTGCTGAAAAGGGAAATCTCCATTTTCCGAGTGTGCACCTGCTTAGATTAGAACAAAACTGACTGTTGAGCTGTTCAAATCCTGTTGGCACTTTACAGTATTCATCAGCGATTCATATGATAATTTAAACCAAGCAACAAGTGAAAGATGCCAGTTAAGCGATGAAGTAGTCACTGACACAAAGCTGGCAGTTAGGGTTAATAATTAATGTTTGTAATCAGGGTGTCACTTCATTGTATCCCATGTCAACTTTCGATAATCCAATATTTTAGATTTCAGATTAGCGATTGTGGTCTCATCTTGCGTTTGTTTTATAGGAATTTGAATTTACACAAATTGTAACTTTGGCCAGGTCAGAATGTTGCTGGTAGGTCTCGTTAACTGAGAATTTGGATTTTGTGTTTATATTCACGATTTAGTTAAGTTGGGAGGTTTCAGTGTTACTTCAACCTATTAAAGGTTAGGTGTGGTGAATTTACTTCTGATTTATATGGCAAGTTATCGTACAAGTAGAGAATATTCACAATGTTTATGAAACATTAATGAACTTTAGAACTGAAATCATAAGTATAAGTTATCTAGATTTTCAGCTGTTTTATACTGCATATCGGTTGACAAAATAATTTCACACAGGAATTTGAAAAAGTATTAGATTACTACACCAGAAAACCTACACATTTTGCACTTGATAGTTTTGGAATAGAAATTTTTAAATATGTAGACTGGCCATTAGATATTATACTTATAACATGATGTCATGATAGTTTTGAAACAATTTTTTTAAAATGTAGACTGGCCACTAGATATATACTTATAACATGATGTTATGATCACAGGAGAGATGTATGTTTCAAATAAAATTTATGATTTATTTTTCAGGATATGGTGGCCTGTAGAGTACTGTGAATGTGTATTGTGATATCATGCTGTATATTTCATTGTGATGTCATATTTCATTGTGGTGTAATATAATCTTGATTTCTTATGTGTTACAAGGTCGCCTGTAGAGTGTGCTGTATATTTCATTGTGATGTCATATTTCATTGTGGTGTAATACTTATATCTTGATTTCTTATGTGTTACAGGGCCGGCTGTAGAGTGTGCTGTATATTTCATTGACGTAGGAATACACAGGACAAACAACAACCATGGCTTCATACCAACAGATCACCACCACAACTACAACCAGGAACAGTAAGTTCACACTTATCGATTCAGTAAAAGATTAAAGCCTCACAAATCATGATCATGTCAAAGATTAAAGTAGCCACATAACCTGATTATCACCCAAACTAAATTATTTTATCTAAAAAAATAGTGTAAAAAATTGAAGCTATAAAAATCATTATTTTATACATAATTCAAAGAGAAGAGAGAAACTGAGTACTGATAATATGGATTTTGTGGTGTCATTTTATATTTTACTACAAATCAGAGTTGTCTCTCAATTTTGTCTTCCAGAAGTTTTTTCAACATATAAAAAATTCTTGGTCAATAGTTACTAATAATATACTAAGTATGACAGAAGTATCTGAGTTTTAAAAACACATAATTCAGAAAATGAGTCCTGAGCCTATATTATCCCAATTGGGGATGATGATTTGATAAATTCAGTTATTATCTTAATTAAAAACAGTGACACCAATTAGTTCTATTTGAATAAGTAATCGGTGTAGAATAATATGCCAGTGACACTCACTTTATTATAGTTAACTCTAAAACAGAGACAGTGATAAATGTTAAGATGAGAAGCCATAAAAACTGACAGCTAGTAATTCTTCCTAGAAATAAAAACAAAATGATTAGGACTCGATTTTTGAACTAGCATAATTATATGGTGAAAGGATGAAAAATTGATATATATGATTAATACAACATCGATTTGATATAAATCGTTATTATAATTTTGATATTAGATATGAGGATGTTAAGACAATTCTATGTAATATCAATTTTTGTGTAGTTTGTAGAAGGATGTGGGACTTGATTTTTTGTTTTTGTATTAGTAATGCAATATAGATAGAAATGAACATGAGTTTCATGAAGATCACATCTGACAGCAAGTAAAAGTAATAAATCCAACAGATAAAATTATTTGAAATTATAATATTAGAATGGAAACAGTTGCATATTTCTACATTTACACATTTCATTTTCCAGTTCCTCATTTGAAAAATCTTTTTGTGTTCAGAATTTTGACTTGGGCTTCCCTCTTGGTATATCTAATGATTGTAATTTACAGTAACTGGCGGCAGCAGTGGAAATTACATGGACGTCAGTGATATGCCAATGGAAAGCGGCCAAGCAAAGACAATGATGTGGCAACAGAACCAATACATGACAGACTCTGGAATACAATCAGGGGCCACCACTCAGGTATGAAGTCAATTTTCATTAGTCTATTGTTATCATTGCAGGAGATATCAGTAGTCCAGATAGTTATTATTGTAGGTGCATTTGAACATTTTTCTTGAGTATGGTTTGAGTTCTCTTATATATTCAGTAATAATTTGTTGTACCTCTTGTATCGATCAACTTATAATATGAGGAGGATCATGGAGATAATGAGTGTGTTGTTCTGTTATTGTGAGATATAGCCCTCTGGAGGGTCATCCATGCTGGAAAAAAATATTTGAAAAAAGTCAACCTTTGAATTTTGTTTTATTACAGGCTCCCTCTATTAGCAGCAAGGGAGGTCACCATGATGAGATTGAAGACTCCTCCAACATGGATACCAACATGTTTGACTTTGATCAAAACTTCGGACAGGGATTCACACAGGAACAAGTTGATGGTATGTCAGTGTATCTGAAATTTAGATAGTCAATGTGTTTAATTTAAGAAAAAAATAAAACATGCTAAGATTGGATATTGAAAGAATTTTTGGCATTTTGGTCCCAATAATAGCACTTGCCTGCAAATGAAACCAATAATGAAGTATTAGTGTTTCAATTTATAATGAAATAATTTAAAAACTAATATATAGTAGCGTAATATTCCACTTAATTTATAATTCATTTTTGAAGAAATATAACATGATAGATTTGGTGTATTTTAGACATGAACACACAGCTGAACCAGACCAGGTCACAGCGTGTCAGAGCAGCTATGTTCCCAGAAACCCTTGAAGATGGTATTCAGATCCCATCAACCCAGATTCACCCTGACCAACCCACAGCTGTCCAGCGCTTGGCCGAGCCATCGCAGATGTTAAAACATGCAGTTGTTAATCTGATTAACTACCAAGATGATGCAGATCTCGCGACAAGGGCAATCCCTGAGCTTACAAAGCTCTTGAATGACGAAGACCAGGTGGTGGTCAGTCAAGCATGTATGATGGTGCATCAATTGTCTAAGAAAGAGGCAAGCCGTCACGCCATCATGAACTCGCCTCAAATGGTGGCAGCGCTAGTACGCGCCATGGGGAACAGTAATGATGTAGAGACCATACGCTGTGCAGCAGGTACTCTACACAACTTGTCCCACCACAGACAAGGTCTTCTGGCGATATTCAAATCAGGGGGTATCCCAGCCCTTGTTAAGCTCCTAAGCTCGCCAGTAGAATCAGTCCTGTTTTACGCGATCACCACTTTGCACAATCTCTTGTTGCATCAAGAGGGCTCCAAGATGGCCGTCCGCCTAGCAGGAGGACTGCAGAAGATGGTGATTCTTCTACAGCGCAATAATGTCAAGTTTCTCGCAATCACAACAGACTGTTTACAGATTCTAGCCTATGGCAACCAAGAAAGCAAGGTATGCTTTACACCATTCAATCTACCTAAGATTTGAATCAAAATGCTTTTAAAAGATTGAATATACATTGGTTACAAAGTCAGGCAAGTCGCCTTTCCACATTAAGTGTTCCCTTGAAAAAAAGTTCATCAAATATAAAAGAATATAAATTAATCTTATTATTATATTCTGTGAACTAAATTACCAGTCACATTTATCGTTGTATTTTAGTTTTGTGCAATCCTCTTTATACAGAATTCAATTTTTTTTTATTAAAAATACGTAGTTGGTAAAATTAAACTGAGTTTGACCATATCTGAGGTACTGGTGATATCTTTTATTTTTATAATCATTTAAGTGAATTAAATAAAAAAAATATGAAAACTAAAATGAAAGTTGAATTGTTTCAGTTGATAATCTTGGCCAGTGGGGGACCAGGGGAGCTTGTTAGGATCATGAGGTCCTACACATACGAGAAACTTCTTTGGACCACATCCCGTGTCCTTAAAGTTCTCTCGGTCTGCTCCAGTAACAAACCAGCCATTGTTGAAGCAGGTAAGGTCACATCTATTCATTCATACATGTGTTAAATATGCCTGGGGAAAAATAAGACAGTAGAACATTCTTATCACTTTAATTCACAGACTTGAGCAAATTTTACTTATTGATTCTTAATTCTGACTTAATTCACATACTTAAGCAAATTCAACTTATTGAAACAACTTGTTTCTGGTTCTTGGCTGAGTTTCAGTTATTACTAGAAAAACTAGACTTATTTTGTTTCAAAAACTTGGTTCAGGGGTTGAGTCACATGGTATTTTTGAAGATTACTTCGAAGATATATCAAGAATCATTATTACTGCTGGGGATGTAAAAGATGGACCTTTCGAGTTAAAAACTTAAGTCATCTTATGGTTTATGTTTCATAAATATTTTTGTAGGTGGCATGCAGGCCCTAGCAATGCATCTGGGACATCAGAGTCAGAGGCTTGTCCAGAACTGTCTTTGGACATTGCGAAACCTGTCAGATGCTGCTACAAGGTGCGAGAACCTTGAGGGTCTCCTACAGATGCTCACCCAATTGTTGGCCTCAAATGACATCAACATTGTCACATGCGCAGCTGGAATCCTCTCCAACTTGACATGCAACAACCAGCGTAATAAGGTCACTGTTTGCCAACTTGGCGGCATTGAGGCCCTTGTTAGAACCATTCTACAGGCTGGAGACCGTGAGGAGATTACTGAGCCAGCCGTGTGTGCTCTCAGACATCTCACCAGTCGCCACCCTGAAGCTGAAATGGCACAGAATGCTGTGAGGCTCCATTATGGACTCCCAGTCCTTGTAAAATTGTTGCATCCTCCAAGCAGATGGCCTTTGATCAAGGCAGTCGTTGGACTGATCCGTAACTTGGCTTTGTGCCCTGCTAACCATGCCCCATTGAGGGAACACGGTGCTCTCCCCCGTATTGTACAACTCCTCATTCGTGCACATGAAGACACACAGAGAACTAGTGAGGTGAGTTTGTGTTACTAAAATAGCACAAGGTTGAAACAGGGCAACATTCTTGAACATAAACCACAGGGTCTCATCAAAGCTGGGTTTATAAATCTTAGCTTCACCATATGAATTCACAATTCTGGTTTTTAAGTCTATTTCGAATAAACCATGGTTTGAAATGTCTGCATCCTAATAAACTTAGCCCTAAAAGCCATTTAAACATTGATTTAATCCTAAACACTTTTTGATTTTCCCATTTTCTTACCCAAATAATTTCTATATACAATTAAAACTTACTACCGATCTCATATGCAAATACTGATTGAATCAAAAAATCTACCATTTAAAACTTTTAGAGCTAAATTTTAAATGTTGTTTTTCAGCGTACCTCCATGGGATCCAATGGTAGCCAACAAAATGGCTATGTAGATGGTGTCCGCATGGAAGAAATTGTAGAGGGCACTGTTGGAGCCCTTCATATCCTTGCCCGCGAGGCCCATAACAGAACAGTCATCCGAGGACACAAGTGTATCCCACTGTTTGTACAGCTTTTGTACTCCCCAATTGAGAACATTCAAAGAGTTGCCGCTGGCGTTCTCTGCGAGCTGGCTGCTGATAAAGAGGGTGCTGAGATCATCGAACAAGAAGGTGCCACTGCACCCCTCACTGAACTTCTCCATTCTCGCAATGAGGGAGTTGGTAAGTTTCAATTCTAGAAAAATATTGATATCATAAAAGTTTGCAAATCTAATCTAATAGAAATTACACTGTATTTTGTGTTGTCGATCTAATTAACATAATATGCTTTATATTAACTTTATGCGTAGCTGTAATAATTATCAGTCCATTGAATTAAAGGGTCTAAGTATGTAAAATATAACAATACTTCAATATTGTATTCTTGTAAATGTCAAATGATGTGAAAAGGGAGTTATTGAGTCTTTATCATAGGTTGAGCCAATATATTTAAAAAGTAAAAATAAATATTACATATATTTAACCTTGCAGCCACATATGCCGCAGCTGTGCTGTTCCGCATGTCTGAGGACAAACCACAGGACTACAAGAAACGTCTCAGTGTTGAATTAACCAGCTCTCTGTTCCGTGGAGACAATGTGCCATGGAATGAGCCTCCAGATTTCGGTGATTTGTCAATGCCCACAGAGGAGGCTTACAGAGACCAGATGTACCAGCCCCAGCAGACATCACACCACCAGCAACAAAGTATGTACACTCACTGTTGCATTGTGGTCTAAATCACCAACAGTTTACCTGAATTAGATGTATATGACTAGTAAAAACATCAAAATATTGTAGATCAAACATTTTGTTCATTTGTAACAAATGAATGAATACAAATAAAGTTTTTACAATGGATCTGATTAAATCAAGATTATATATACTCACATCTAGTCTATTAGATCATCTGCTTACATTCTCAATTATCATGTAAAAATAGAGACTAAATACAGTGTTTTTTAAGATCATGTAATTGTTTCATTTCCAATAGGCCTTAAATGCAAATGAATGGTAACATAGATAACCAAATATGTTTGAGTATCCCACCCAATAACTGCTTGTAGACTCATTTGTTCCCTGTATGTTTCAGACTATCCCAACAGTGTGCCTGTAGACTCCATGCAGGGTCTGGATATCAGCAGTCAACAAGGAAGTGGCTACGGCATGGACGCAACAGTTGGAATGAACTTTGAGAACATGGACACTGGAATGCAGCAGCAACAAGACAACAACCAGATGGCTGCCTGGTTCGACACAGATCTATAGATGATTGGTCGCTATAGTGACCATATCAAAGACATGTCAGTGCTCTCCCTAGTAAGATCGTGGCTGGACTCATCAAGGAGACATTAATATGAAACTAAAATACATTTTGTGAAATTGAGTTTTAAGTTGAAAATCATTACTAGAGATATCACTGCATGTTGTTTGATATGGCCTCTTTAGAGGAATGCAGCCCGTTAGGTGCACAGCTCACAGGGGCCAAACACCCAAACATTGGAGTATAAATAGATATAGTGTTGCTGTGTGCTCTGACGGGAGATTTTATACTGAGGCAATGCAACAGATGGCTAGATAAAAGTCCTGCATTATAAAATGTTTGTAACATAACACTGTACAGAGACTATTTCTAACCCTGCGTGGTTGGTGGTGGTTGCTTTACCCCTCGCTAGGATTGTACCCATCTGGGTGCCCAAGACAACCCTCCCTGGGGGTAGGGCATCCACCCACTAATGTTATAACCGTTAGAAAAATGGTCGTAAAAACATACATACAAGTTTTGTACATAATTAATGCATGCTTTTGCACATTTGGATTGTAGAATTTGAACTGTTAAATTAAAAACTTGCAATATCGTGACTTTTGATTGGAGTTTTGAACAATGAATATAAAAAGCTGGGAGCACTGAACCACAAACATTGTGTAATGCAAGATATATGATTTGATTAATAGCTGGGCTAAATTGGACAGTGTTTCGAAAATCTCGGGGTTGGAATCTAATGTGTACTTAATTTATGCCCCTCACTACATTATAGCCCAGAGATGGGAGTAACACTTCAAAGGAGAATTCCATATTATCAGAGCTATGTATTTTAGACATGTATTTTATACTTTAACTGTATGAGCATTGAGCACTCTCGACTTCGTACTGAGACTTTCAGTGATTCCTTTGGACACATTGTACAGGATATGATATAACCAAAAATGTATTCATGTTTGTGTTCATAATGGTGTTACTTATATACCCTTCCAACTCATGATGGGCAGACATTCTTTTTTTTAAAAATACTAGGGTTTTGTATATTAAAAGGTGCAGTCCTGTTCTTAAAAATTAACAATGAGTTCAGAAATAAAGTACATGAATGGGACTGTATCTTTGATCACAAAATCCTAATTAATTAAGTAGGTTGAATATCATTATTAATTTCTAATTATTAATTTATCTATTAAACTTATCTTGAATGTATGCCCATCATGATACACAGTTATATATATATAGGGTATCAGAAATTTCTCTAACTTAGAAATCAAGGTGTAGATGGTTGGTCATTTAAGTATGGTAACACATTTTGTAGCTTTTATAGACCTATGCATTATATTTTAGCTGTAGTGTATATTAGAATCGTATTACCTAACCGTCATTGTGACATCATAATATTACCATTTTTATATGGAACGCTTTTATTTCATTATGTGTGCGCATTGTCTTCATGTATGTTAAGATGAATCTCTCTTGCCTTAAATCATGGCCTATTTCCAGATTCCCCAATAAATGACCTTCAAGTCCTGTTCACATAAGATACAAATATATTATACAGACACATACAGGCTTGCGCACAATTCAAGAAAATGCTATAAACAAACAGAATTGGATCATTCTAAGCCATTTTCCTGAGCTATGTAATGGACTGTCTATTATGTGGTTCTTGGCATTTGAAAACCAATCAGCTTATCCAGCTTTTTAGATTATTTTAGTCATTATAAACCATTTTACTGTCAGACCCTAATATGTGTATTTGTATGTGATTACTATATCTAAATTATGTGTATTTTATTTACAATACTAGGTGAGAACACAATGTAATTAATTGGTCAACATAATGAAATAAAGTCAATTTCTATAAAATAAAATGTTGTTTTTGTCAAGTAATTTGAAAAATCATAAGATGGGTAATAGATAAGGAACATGTTCAATCCATGGCCATTGGGCAACTTATAAGCCAGGACTTGTATAGATGGCGGAGCATTTAGCTATCAACCCATAAAGCGAGACCTACCCTCATGAACCCTGGAGTCGATCCATCTGGTTCGTTCAGTAGGCTATACAGTCATATGCTGCATTATAAAGATCAATGAAATATCATCTCCATTCACAAGGTTTCAGTTGCTCCAACTTCAGTGTTATAACCATATTGGAATTCGAAGATGTGTAATGCATGTATCTTATGGTGTAGGCCCAGGGAAAAGTATTGGTAAGCTAAAATCTAAAAGAAACAGACTTGATTATACAGTTTCAATATCTTTGTTGTAGGGTAGTGGGCCCACTGTTAACTGGGGAATGAGCATAACAAAGTGAACAAAAATGTTTTCCAGATGTCCTACACAGCTGGATTTTGTCACTGTTCTACTCCGAATACTTGTTTGCCATGTTTTATTTAATAAATTTGATATAATGATAAGTTTTGATATTATTTTGATGATCAACATTATTTTAGTTGTAAATTCCTGTTTGCGTCGGGTTGTTCAATAAGTTCATTTATAGGAATTATTCCGGATTAATTATAGATATAGGTTAGGGTACCCCTTACATTCGTTCGACTTTCGTTTCTTAAAAGAAAGCTTCGTCTCATAACTAGACTCTGCGCGCAGGGTAAGGTTAGGGGTTCATTGTCTTGATTGAAATAATTCACTCCCCACTAACTGCAGCAAACTTTCTTTACCTGATAAAATGATAATTTTGACAAGCTATAAACTTCATAAATATACGGCTTTTAAAGATCCAAGTAAGTGTAAAATTATTTCAATGGTTATTAATGATCATAAACAAGCTTGCAAAAAATGTTTTTGAAATTGAATACTAAAAACTGGTGGGTTTTACACTCCAAACGTTTGACAATCTCACCTTCCCCCATTGGCCATTACCCATATGTTAAGCGTCTTAATGTTTGGCAAATTTTAAGATTCAGCAGTCATGAATAAGAAGGACCTAATTGCAATAATAAGGGGAAAACCAAGATCAAGCACAAATTGCCACGCGCCATCTACTAGTATTGGGGGAGGGGGGATATCAAACTTTTGGAGGGGAGTGCACTTCTCTTTTGAATATCGTGCACAACTTATTACTATGGCATTACTGCGTCCCTCATTTGGATCTAATCTCTCGTAAAATTAGGGTCTTAGGTCAAAGTCATACATATAAAGAGCTCAACTACAACCCTTCTCTAGAAGTCGACTTTGTCTACTCTACAGACATTTTGATCTAACCGATTTCTGTGCCCTAATCAGATAATCTCAAAACTACATTTTTACATATAATGCCAAGAAGTCCCGACAAAATAAACCAGGTAATAAATACGCCATAAAAAGACCCGGTATAAATTAAGCCACTTTTCGAGATTCCATCAAGATTTTATCTATCTGAGCAGCCATTAACATTAAAATCATTCGGAGTAGGGTGTCTCCTAGGACATTGGTGTCAGAAGGGGGAGGGCGTTGGGGGCGACCGCCCCCCCCCCCCTTTCCCTGATTTTTTTAGATTTCGAACCTAGCCTAGAATTGAAAGCTCTAGAGTTAAATAAAGTCAACGTGTAATAATGACAGAAATGATTCTATGTCAGTATATAGGCTACATCAAGCAGATTTCTCATATTATATTTAATTACCATTTATAGTTTCTCAGGAACCCGTAAATACTTTGAAGAATAAGTGCAAAATGTTATATTTAAAGGGTTCCGATTAGCATCCCGTATAAAAACAATATGGCGGCTCCAGGCGAATCAACTGGATCAGTCCATTTATAAGAAATAAGAGGAGTTCTGTAAAATCCAGTTTATTGAAATTGTCTTTGAGATAAAGTAATCCGTTTATAATGATTTTGAAAACGTTATCCAAAGAGTGATTGCGTTCAAAGAATACATGTACAACAGCCAATATAAATCCTTGTATTAGAAACCGGTTTGTCTTGCTTTGTTTCATTTGTAGGATATTTCATATGCCAAGCTGTGTGCTATTACGTTATGGGGAAATTTAGATGCCAATTTTTCCTTATTATACACAAATAGAAGATCCTGAAACTTCACCCATAAATGAAGAATTGATTTGTCAAAATAAAAATCACCCTTTTATAAATGTGTGACGATCTATTATAGACTTATGCTATATAACAGTTAGAGGTGTTGACACAACGACCTCGAACCTGTGAACCCTTGAGTATTATTCCGGGATCGGGCCTTTTATACTAAACGGTGAGCAACACCAGAAACGAGCGTTCGATTTGTTAAACGATATGCGTCACCCTTTAAGTCAAAGTCAAGTTAAATTTTCTTGGAAATATTGTGCTGGGATATGTTCAGAATGAACCAGAGAGGGTCTAATTTCTGGGAGCACGCCCTCCGACCCCCTAGATTGCGCTCCGCGTGCGGTGAGCTTCACGCATGACCCATCCATACCCAAAAGTCGCCCCCTCCCTTGGCAAATCCTTCTGACGCCCCTGTTTAAGGATGAAGTAAAGGATGCATGTCTCACCACCAACTCTCTTTTCCTGACTAGACCAATGCCATACCACAAGTGACCATTCTCCTACCAGAAAGTGGACAAATCCGACCTTTGCCATACCTCAAATGTCATAATTGTAGGGACATTCCAGGCCCGTAGCCAGAATTTTCCAAGGGGGGGTTCGTTTTTTTCTAAAAAATTCTAGGGGGGGTTCACTTTGGCAAATATGGCCAAAAATCACTCAAAAATTAGTTCGTCCGAACCCCCCGAACCCAATGTCACACCTCGGATCCTAAAATGTGGGCCAGGATTCAACCTGGGGGGAGCGGATCAATGCTTTTGCTGGGGCCTAAATTTTCAAAATTTGGGCCCACTTGTTGGCAAAATGGCCCAATTTTTTTTTTCGCTGCAAGCTTTTTTCATACTTCAAATATGCCCCCCGGAGTTCCTGGATCCGCCCCTGATAAATGCCAGGGATGCTGGTTTTTCAGGCGGTTTTGTCAGCGCGTGTTAGGCTGCGGTTCCATGTAAGCAGTCACGAGCTAAAATGTCACGGCACTTAGCCATTTCTAACCATGCAACATGTATACTGTACATTGCTACACATTGCTACACTGTGTCAAGCACCTATACATAGGCTGGAAAGCGGGGTAAACGGGGTACATATCCTTACCTGTATACTCTACATTGCTACACTGTGAGGCAGCTTCTACACATACCATGGAGGTGGGGTAAGCGGGGTAAGCGGGGTGCATACCTTTACATGTATACTCTACATTGCTACACATTGCTACACTGTGTCAAGCACCTATACATAGGCTGGAAAGCGGGGTAAGCGGGGTACATACCTTTACATGTATTCTCTACATTGCTACACTGTGAGGCAGCTTCTACACATACCATGGAGGTGGGGTAAGCGGGGTAAGCGGGGTGCATACCTTTACATGTATACTCTACATTGCTACACTGTGTCCAGCACCTATACATAGGCTGGAAAGCGGGGTAAGCGGGGTACATACCTTTACATTTATTCTCTACATTGCTACACTGTGAGGCAGCTTCTACACATACCATGGAGGTGGGGTAAGCGGGGTAAGCGGGGTGCATACCTTTACATGTATACTCTACATTGCTACACTGTGTCAAGCACCTATACATAGGCTGGAAAGCGGGGTAAACGGGGTACATACCTTTACATGTATTCTCTACATTGCTACACTGTGAGACAGCTCCTATACATACCATGGGGTAAGCGGGGTACATACCTTTACATGTTACATAGAATATATTAGTTACTACATTGTTTCAAGCTCCTACATGTATACATAAACACTGTACATTGCTACACTGTGTCAGGCACCTATACATAACCTGGGAAGCGGGATTAACGGGGTACATATCCTTATGTATATCTTATCCATATTAAATGATTTGTTTACACAATGTTGCATTAGTTGTGTGGATGTACACTAAAAAACTTACATTTTTTGGTTTTGGTTTGACTCCCAAATAACTATATAAAGTATGGACATTTATTTAATTGGTTTTTAATAAATAATCCTGTCTGGTTGTGATATAGTCATTTCACAGATACATCTACATGTACATAAAGCCTTGCCTGTGTATTTGTAATAATAACTAGTAAAAAACATTTCTTGAATATTGGGTACTTACTAAAGTGAATGAAGCTTATGTGTAACTATGTTTATTAAGAATGGTAATAAATTTAATTGTTATGAAGAATGTTGATATTATTCTTATAAAATGCACCTTTTACCAATGTATTCCTAGTAACCTTGCGTTGTGCGCCGTGCGTTAACATTTCATTGATTAAAAGTGCAGTTCATTTCCATTTTTTATTTTTACCAGAATGACGTTAAAAACTGACACATCTTGAATATTATTTATTAAATTTTGTTGGTGAGGACGTATTTATTGTTATGTTCATAATGGGAGCCAGGACTCGTATAGATGGCAGTTAACTACTAGGTTGTTCTCTACAACTAGCCCATTGGTTAATGTGTAAATATTGCTGTTTTGAAACTTCAAATTCTCTGCATATATCAAATAAATATCATATTTTCCTTCATCATTATTTTAATTTACAAACATGATTTAAGATTCACAATTACAAGTTTTGGATATTTTCAATAAAATTTATCTGTGTCAATATATATCTATCTACCTGTTATTTAATTCGTAAATACTTTAAAACACTAGAGAGATTTCGCACATAAGTGAAAGTACAACTTATACGTATACGTATACTTTAAAGGGTCATGTCGAACTATTATATTTACTAAAATCAATTTCAAATTGTACTTAATGGAACATAACTATTCCCGATATAGAAAAGCTCCATCAACTAGAAACTGTGAATGCACGTGTAGATTATGCACATTATACTTAAATGCTTACTTCCGTGTCCTAGTAGTTGTAGTGTATTATAAACACGATCTTTTAAAGTGAGTCATAATCCTTTAAAGCGTGTCATGACATAAACAAGTTGATTATTTCAAAGTTTTCATGATCAGTATAAGTTCAATGAACTTACAAAACGGTATATATACGAGATGATCAACGTATACAGTTGGATCTCCGTATAAAGCTTTACCTGCATGTGTGTGGAACAATTGACCGCAAGCATTTTTTAAAAACAATTGGCTGAGTAGGAACAGTATCCAATCAAATAATTAAACCATCAATTTGAAACACCAATCAAACTAGTAGGTTCTAGCAATTCCTGGAAACGACCCATTCAGTAGCTCAACAAATGACATACAGGGTGTTTCAAAACGAGCATCTCAAAAAGTCAATTTGATAAGAGATAGGTCTATAACATACGTACTATATATGAGCCTATTTTATTCTAGACAAACACATTTGGATCAACTAAACATGCTACAATTCAAGAAAGAACAAATGGCATCCCTTTGACCTTTATTTATTACAGTCCGAGAAGATCTTTCCTGACGAAATGCCCACATAATGAAACACCTTGTACGTTTGGTTATAAGTATAAGTATACGTTATAAGTTGTACTTTCACGCCGTGCGAAATCTCTCTACTAATGTAAAGTTCAAACGTATAATGTAAGTTAATCATCCACTCAAAATCTAAATTAATGAGTAGAGCAATATTACAGTAGCGACTGAACCTATTTTCAGCGTGGCGTTTTACATAATGTTACACAATATTTCCAAATGTTAATTTCGACTAATTATGTGCTCTGTCATGGGACTAAACTGTTGAATGTTTCTGTAGAAGACATCGTAGTTCAAATATCAGTAGATCATTCGCACATTCGTGTATCTGGAGAGTGCAACTTGTCAAGTGGTCATTATGTACAGAGCAGATGTATGTAATCGAGGGACCATAAAAGTATGTCATTAAATCATTGAATGAAAATAGTGTAATAACTGAGACCACCGTTACCCAACAATTATAGTGATCAGTCGCCTATTAGTAGCATTAAGCTATTATTAAAAATGCGTATATGCTTATATCTACGCCTAATGTAAAAGAAAGTGATCCTCGTGTTATAACAAGTGATCATGATATTAAATTTTCCCAATACACATTTCGAACATGTACTAACTTAAGATGGTATTTTGAAATTTGCAAAGTATGGATAATTTATATTTTGAAAACAAAATTCAATATGTTAAAGTTCATCCTCCTATCTCAGCTGCACATCTTCTTTGCTAACTTTATACATCACGGGGCGATGCGCGCCATATGTCTAGTGTAAACCATCGTCCACGAGGCAATAATAGTGAAAATGGCAAAGTCTACCACAATATCAAACGTTTAAAGGCAATTGTATTTTAAGAATTTCGTTTACACACTTTGGAATATAGTATAAATTCATTTTTGTCTATATTTGTGACAACACGTTTTACTTGTTTTATGTTCATTTTCGCAATCGAATCATTTGCCATTCTTCTTTTATTAATTGCGTCGATGCACTTACAGTATATATCATAAACCCTATTCACGTCTACCGTTTCTTTACCCTTTCTCTTTATTAGCAATCTGTATATCACGGCAATAAGATAAAATTGGAATTTATCCGATGGCCCAGTATTAATTTCTTGCAAATTGTTCGACAAATATTCGAAAGATGTTACATGTTTCTTGCTGGCTTTTGTTAGTCTCCTTCTAGTTTTTTCACATTTAATTCCTTTTTTGGTTTACCATTGTTACAATTTTTTGAAGGGCAAGCACACGATTGTTGACATTTAGCATTTTTTGAAGAACATGGGCATCTTCTACCTACACAGCATTAGATTTCTTTTCCACTTCTTATTCGGTTGACACCACACCTACAACCTTTTTTACTACCTCGATCTTTCTTAGTTACAGAGCGTGCCAAAGAATTTGCGTTTCTTTGAATCAAACTGTCATAATGACCTGCTGAGCCCGCATTACTTAAAGACTTTATTTAACCCTATGCTAAATCCAGGCGAATCCAGACTAATAAAATACCTTATACTATAAAGAAATCGTATAAATAAAAAATATATGAAAAAATAATGCTTTTTGTCATAAATATCACATTTTGTACTGTTGGCAGTTTCGGTTTCACTTCAATTGACCTCGTTGACCTCCAAAATTCAATGACGTCATCGAAGTGGGGGTATTGTTTATGCCGCCATTGAAATATAGCTATAGAACTTTGTATGTGATCTGATTTGAATAGATAATATATCACATGCCGTTCAGGTGTGTGGTGGGAGGGTGCAGCAACGAGCCCCGGGAGGGGATCTCGTTGTTCAAGTGGCCGAAAGATGCCAAGATGGCCCGCTTATGGGCAAAGTTCGTAGACAGTACGAGAAAAGATTTCACTCCAAGCGATCAGACCAGGATCTGCTCAGCCCATTTTAAAAGTGAGCATTTCTCAATAAACACCACACAAAACAGTATGCTTTTGTTGATGGGTGAAAAACCAAAGTAAGTACGATCTAAACGCAGTATAAGACCGATTTTTACGACTATTTAGCGAGAATATCAACTCGGAAAATCGAATCCGGAAATAAAAATTGAATGCATATTTCACTTTCCCGATTCGTTTTTACGTCAAAAAGTAAAAATAATTTGCTGCATTATGTCTACATTAGTTGCTTATAAGTCGTTAGGACATATATACACTGGCGGATTCAGAAGTTAACAGGGGGCTGCCCAAGTATAATCTAACAAAAATGCCAATGTTTCTGCCATATAGACCACGGACCACTGACAGATTACCTCTTCTTCAGTGGTGTCTATGCTCATTAATATACTCAAGCTTCCCATTTATCCTTTGAGCCTACTACCAATAGGGGCTGGATCTGTGATATAGATCTTCATGTATATTTGATAGAAATTGATAACTTGAATTGCACGAAGTAAATAATAAACCTCATTCTGTTTAAGAACTCCAACCTTGAAGAGGGACCAGGCTGTCCCGACCATTAAGACGCCTAAAGAAAGTCTGCATGATAGTCCAAGGTCATCTAAAGTTGGCGGAGCATTTGAAAAGAGAGAGAAACTGAGGGTATGTTTTTCAATCATAAATACTTATGTCCGTGCAGAAATAAAAAATGATGAAAAAAGTCAAAGATATGTCATCTTTTTGTACAGGGGGTGCTCTGTCGGGAGATAATACCAGGTAACATATAGGCCTATTTTAAAACTATTACATAAGCTTGATGGCTTGTCTTGCCCCATGGCCATCCTTACTCCATTCTCACCCAAATTACCATGGTAATATGAACGTTAAGATATACTTACAGTGTATATAACATGACCAATTTCATATGTCTTTATTTCATACTTTTATAGTGATCAGTACCAGATTTAAAGAAAAATAATAATAAAAGAAAATAGATAAGGCAAGGACCTTTTGAATATCCTTTTTACTGCAATGGTCAAGTTATGGTGCTAACAAACATTGGATTGACAAACTTGGGTTTGACAAATTTTTATTTTCCAGGATCGTGAAGAGCTAAGGCGGTTGATGTCAACAGACATGACAGATACAAGTAGTGAAGACGATCCCTTGCACTCATCAAGTGCAGTGTTTACCAAATCAACTGTGGAGTTGGGTTCAAGTGCCTCTTCTACATGTATTGCCACCCAAGCAAATGTGGAGTCAAGATCCATCGGGACTTCCATACACCTAAGCCTAACTACGAGAGTTAAGGGGGTGCAGTGCAACGCTGCTTTCACAAGAAGTCGAGGTAATTTTTATCTTGAGATAATCACTTTGCATTTTAGGCCAGGGTGCAATTGTGTGCCTAGAAACGACTTGTGAGAAGATTTGTTTTGTAAAATGTATAAAAAGTGACAAAATTCAGTGAAAAAATTTCACAGAATCAAAACATTCTTCTCCCAAGTCTTTTCAAGGCACAAAGTGCACTCTTTGTGCAAAACTGGAAGAGGTAGACAATGTGTCGAAGGAGTGATTCCTATTTGAAAAATAACATGTGACTCAATTGAGAAATGCCGCAAAATTCTGAACAGGCACCCTGCCCTTGAAAATTAAATCATATTTTTCAACACATCTATAGTAATCACAGTGTTTATAATAGAGTCTTCCAAGATCTATCACAACCCAGTACTATATTTTAAAAAATTTCAGATATTGCAGGAAAACAAAATCATAAATCTGTTGTTCGAAATTCCAAATAAACAATACAAAATATAAGCGAATATTCACAGAAGATACACATTAGAATAGTTGTCTGAAAAAGTAAACTAATTTTAAGAACCATGTAACGTAAAGAACGTTTTTTTAATATTTATGGAATCATGAGCTTAATTAAAAAAAGAACAACATTTGGTTTGGAAAAGTCTTATTTGTCTGCATACGTTTGAAAACACTACTATTATAACAATTATCAAGTTTTAATGCATATAATGAAAGTTTTGAAAAATATTATATTAGGTTGTCAAACTGAGAGATATGATGGACCAAGTCAACTGCAGCAGTGTACCAGGAGTAGTCAAACTGACTTCGATGCTCCCGGTCTATATGAGGATGAGGAATATGCCGAAAGTGAACTCTCAGACATGTCAGATGATGATGATTACAATGACCCAACATGGGACCCAGAGATGGATGATTCAGAATCAGAAGAGTCTGACTCTGACTTTGAGGAAGATACACAACAGAAAATGTTAGTGGATGTTCCAATGTGAATAGATACTGTGAATTGCTTTATTTGATTTGGCAGTTTTGATCAATCCACCAAATTAAAACAGCTGTCAAATTAAAGCAATTTACAGTTAAATGTAATCAGTTAGTTAGAATCCTTTCATAATAAAACTGAAATGAGGACACAACTTCCTTGAAATGAGAATACAAGGTAGATGATGAATCATGGACTTTAACAATAACATTTACCTTAGAATTATTACACTTTCCCATGACAATTTGAAAAAATGAGGGATTTTGTAAAAATGGCTGTTCAATGGGATTGGCTACGTTTTGGCATTGCCCTTACATTGTTATCTAATGTTTATTATTATTATGCTGTTATATCATCAAATTGTATTAATTGATTTATGAAATATGCATGATTGTTTCATTATTTCAGGCCAACATTCCAGTCACATACGTTTTTTGTTGTTGAGCTGAGTCAACTATTGATGCTTTTCACAATTTGTGTAAACTGTGGAAGAAAGGGGGCAACAGGGATTGTTCAGAGTGTCCTTGGTACCATGGTGTCTGTCCAACAAAAGTGCCAAGCTTGTACTTCTCAGTATCTTTGGACAAGCCAAACAGATTTCCATGGAATCTGTCGGGGGAACATAATGTTGTCTGCAAGCATTCTATTCTCAGGTAGGCCCAAGCTATTAATGTCTAAATATTTATTTAAATTACAATAATTTGGACTTGGTTTATGAGGCATTTTAACGAAGGCCCCCCTTCCCCACAAGGTGGGCGGATCTTTTCATACTTTGGATAAGATTTCCACCGTTCAGATGACTTCCAATTCCTTCATGAGCTTATGTGGCAAGTCATTCAGGCAACTGTTGATCAGTAATATGATGTAATTGTGATTTGAAGGCATGTCGTACCACATAAACAGTCACATCAGTTTCATCAGTCATCAGTTACATAAAATGACACACATGATTTCCTTGCACACATTACAACAACCTAAAATAAATATGGTTTTCATGATGCTTATTTTAGAAGAAATGTCAGATTTCTGATGAAATCTCTTAATATCACTTTAAGCTAAGTCTGATTTTATTTTAAAATGTTAATTGTATTTGCACCCTCTTATGTGTATAGGTTCATCACCAAGTAAGGCACTACGACAGATGAAATTTTGGGGGTTGCACACATATTCAATTGGATCATTCTTCTACCATCAGAAACACTTCTTACATGGTAATCTTCATTTCTAGAGTTCTACTAAAGGAGATAGTTGTATAAAGTGTTGTTAATGTACATACTATAATGGTCTTATTAAACTTTGTATCTAAATATTCACCTTTTTAACACAGGTTTACAATGACTATCGTGTTTGGTAATTTATGAGAGTTTATTATGTATGTAAACATGGTTAATTAAGCTCATTCTCTCAATTATTTTTATTTGCCCCAGATGCCTTGATTTCCCGCTACTATGGCAACCGTTTCTTATTTAATATTTCTGTTAAACTAAATATTTTTTGCTGAATTAATAAGACATTCTATGCTGTACATTCTGTGAAAATTTCATTGGAATATATTGAAAAATAAAGAAATTAGAGAGATATTATGAGAACTTTATGATCCAGCTTCTCATGTTTTGTCCAAAGATGTATCATTATCATTATGATGGCATGAAAAGCAGGTGATATGCTATATTCTCTTTTTATTACTAGATCAAATTAGTACAGTTTTCCAGTATTGATTTAATATTATAGAAGTGCAAAAAGTAAAATCAGATTAAAGGGTGTACCAATATTGAACCAGATCAATATGATGTTCAATTGTTACAAATTATCAAACTACTATTATTCTCAATTATCAAAAGGTTGTTGTTGAGTGTGCTGCACTATAACGAGAATGCTGGAAGAGAATATGCAAGGGACAAAGATGGGAACCTGTATCTCAACATGATTTACCCTAAAGGCCGTCCCCACGAGGCAGTTGTTCGTAAAGTTCGCTGCCAAATGACTTTCAGTGAGTAATTTGTTTTTTAATGTCCCAACAGTTTTCTTGTCTCCAATATTCCACAAGCTTGAAAATGGCGCAATAATTATCTAAATAAATTGCCCCAGATGTACTCTGTTTTGTGGACTTGCACATCATTACATTTGGAGAAAAGGTTAAGATGTACATGTGAAACTATAAATACATGTATATGTCACTCAAGGTAGAGTTTCTGAAGGCGAGATTTACTACATGTACTAAGACTGGCAATCCGCTGCTTGACACTGCATTCTATGGAAGTTGTTAGTCTTGTTTTCTTTATTTTAAATTGGTTTCTAATTTTCCAGACTATGTAGATGAGCTTGTAGATGAACTTGGTTCTCTAATGGACAACCGGGAATTGGGGAAAAGATATGTGAAAGAACTTGCTCGAACTATCCCAAGGCCACTTAGCCATGAGGAGCCAGAGCACGATAAAATGGAAATCTATAATAATCAATTCCCTAGATACCAGTAGATAGTTTATCACATGAATCAAAACCATCCACAATCTTCAAATAAGGATTACAGTACCAACAGATAAAGAAACAAATGCCCAATGCTCTATTATTCACATTTATTCTGCCTCCTGAAAGCCCACAAACTGAAATAGTTCTTCAAATGCCTCTGGTGGAGGGTAGTGTGCACGAATGCAACAGACTGCGCAAGATGGTAAAACCATCCTAACCTTGGGCCCAAGAACCCCCCATGCTGCCAGGGCAAGTTGCCTATAAGCAATGTGCCTCATCTTTCTGGAGGTTTCACCTTCGAAGCCATGGGGGTACTGCTTTTTAAATGTTCTCCATGCATTGATGAGTGTGAGTCTGTTGATGCATAGTCCATGAAACCCTGGGTTCAGGGTAATGCATCTTGGTACAGCGAAAACCTCCCCAAGGAGCATGGCTTGATGGTTAAGGCCCGTCACCTCTGGGATTCTGTTGCAACACACATTTTCCTCTGGACGATCCATTGGCTGGCAGTTCCCACAGGTGCACCTGGAAGGAAAAGGAAATATTTCGCAAATTTGAAAATTCAGTTGGTATTTGTAAAAATGGCAGGTGGTGAAATTTCTCATGTTATTGCCTTGTCTAGCATGGTACATGTAGCCAGTGGGACATGTCAATAAGTGTTCAATGTATAAACATTAAAACTGAATGTTCGCAGTTGGCATCTGTAAAAATGGCAGGTGGTGATATGTCTTGCATGGTACATGTAGTTAGTGGGACATGTCAATAAGTGTTCAATGTATGAACATAAAATCTGAATGTTCGGAGTTGGCGTCAGTAAAAATGGCAGGTGGTGATATGTCTAACATGGTACATGTAGCCAGTGGGACATGTCAGTAAGTGTTCAATGCATAAACATTAAAACTGAATGTTCGGAGTTGGCGTCAGTAAAAATGGCAGGTGGTGATATGTCTTACATGGTACATGTAGTTAGTGGGACATGGCAATAAGTGTTCAATGTATGAACATAAAAACTGAATGTTCGCAGTTGGCATCTGTAAAAATGGCAGGTGGTGATATGTCTTACATGGTACATGTAGTTAGTGGGACATGTCAATAAGTGTTCAATGTATGATCATAAAAACTGAATGTTCGCAGTTGGCATCTGTAAAAATGGCAGGTGGTGATATGTCTTGCATGGTACATGTAGTTAGTGGGACATGTCAATAAGTGTTCAATGTATGATCATAAAAACTGAATGTTCGCAGTTGGCATCTGTAAAAATGGCAGGTGGTGATATGTCTTACATGGTACATGTAGCCAGTGGGACATGTCAATAAGTGTTCAATGCATAAACATTAAAACTGAATGTTCGCAGTTGGCATCTGTAAAAATGGCAGGTGGTGATATGTCTTACATGGTACATGTAGTTAGTGGGACATGTCAATAAGTGTTCAATGCATAAACATTAAAACTGAATGTTCGCAGTTGGCATCTGTAAAAATGGCAGGTGGTGATATGTCTTACATGGTACATGTAGTTAGTGGGACATGTCAATAAGTGTTCAATGTATGATCATAAAAACTGAATGTTCGCAGTTGGCATCTGTAAAAATGGCAGGTGGTGATATGTCTTACATGGTACATGTAGTTAGTGGGACATGTCAATAAGTGTTCAATGTATGATCATAAAAACTGAATGTTCGCAGTTGGCATCTGTAAAAATGGCAGGTGGTGATATGTCTAACATGGTACATGTAGCCAGTGGGACATGTCAATAAGTGTTCAATGCATAAACATTAAAACTGAATGTTCGCAGTTGGCATCTGTAAAAATGGCAGGTGGTGATATGTCTTACATGGTACATGTAGTTAGTGGGACATGTCAATAAGTGTTCAATGCATAAACATTAAAACTGAATGTTCGCAGTTGGCATCTGTAAAAATGGCAGGTGGTGATATGTCTAACATGGTACATGTAGCCAGTGGGACATGGCAATAAGTGTTCAATGCATAAACATTAAAACTGAATGTTCGCAGTTGGCATCTGTAAAAATGGCAGGTGGTGATATGTCTTACATGGTACATGTAGTTAGTGGGACATGTCAATAAGTGTTCAATGCATAAACATTAAAACTGAATGTTCTCAGTTGGCATCTGTAAAAATGGCAGGTGGTGATATGTCTTGCATGGTACATGTAGTTAGTGGGACATGGCAATAAGTGTTCAATGTATGAACATAAAATCTGAATGTTCGGAGTTGGCGTCAGTAAAAATGGCAGGTGGTGATATGTCTAACATGGTACATGTAGCCAGTGGGACATGTCAATAAGTGTTCAATGTATGAACATAAAATCTGAATGTTCGGAGTTGGCGTCAGTAAAAATGGCAGGTGGTGATATGTCTAACATGGTACATGTAGCCAGTGGGACATGTCAATAAGTGTTCAATGTATGATCATAAAAACTGAATGTTCGCAGTTGGCATCTGTAAAAATGGCAGGTGGTGATATGTCTTACATGGTACATGTAGCCAGTGGGACATGGCAATAAGTGTTCAATGCATAAACATTAAAACTGAATGTTCGCAGTTGGCATCTGTAAAAATGGCAGGTGGTGATATGTCTAACATGGTACATGTAGTTAGTGGGACATGTCAATAAGTGTTCAATGTATGAACATAAAATCTGACATGTTCGGAGTTGGCGTCAGTAAAAATGGCAGGTGGTGATATTTCTCATGTTATTGCCTTGTCTAGCATGGTACATGTAGTCATTGGGGCATGTCAAAAAGTGTTCAATGTTGTATAACATAAAAACTGAATGTTCAGTTTGTACCGTAGAAGACATGTAGTGATTGATAACCAATTTTGTCTTAAACACCCTATGCAGACTGCTATGCAAAAACAAGCGGTGGGGATATCATGTGCGCAAGGTGCGGATATTAACTGTCATTTTTTGAATTTGAATTTGTGTTATTTCATTAACTAAGGCATTTTGGGTACTCAATTATAGTCATCCATTTGTAGAGGATACCTAATAGAAGGGAAATTTTTTCAATAGTTGTATTCTTCATTTTTTAACGACGCACTGAGAATTTTTCCTTGCTCCACAGCAAAGAATTTGAAATTGCTGCTTTATCACACCTTGTGAAACAGCTGCAATTTCAAATCATTTGCTTTCGAGAGAGTATTATTGGTTGATGTGTCACTATTGAATGAACTACACACTATTTACATAATTTCCTTTTTATTAGGGAATCTGTTCACATGTATGAATATAATCGAGTACCAAACTGCCTTATATGGTGAAATATCACGAAATAAAATTTAAAGATGACCGTTAAATATCCACACCTTGCACACATGATATCCACACCGCTTGTTTTCGGAATAGCAGTTTGCATAGAGTGTAAAACCTGCAGTCTGGTTACATGTATTAATTGAATCTGAACTATTTTATTTAGGGCCTATTTTATTTATTATAGAATAAAAAAATAGAAATAAACTATCAGAATCTGACAAGTATATTGCACTTTGTAGAAATTTATGTTTGAATTGAAATAAATTATAACTGGTATCTGAAAATGGATAATGTCATGTCTCAATCTGAATGTTTATCCTGAATACTGTATACAACAGTTACAGATGATGAATGTAGGTCACAAAAAATTGAATTCTAAACAACAACATGATACTAGTATTTAAACATTTTGGGTCTGAACATTTTAAGTTTTATGTGCCTTATTTTTAATAGTCTAGGCTTCATTGAGAAAATGAGATTCAGTTGTTCACAAATGTGCCCTAGAAAAATTCTCCATACTTTCAAAAAGGCGACCCAAATTAATTTTCAAGTGTATAAATATATTTTTTTCTAACATTCCTTAGTCTAGCTACTAGAGTCTAACATCTAAAGAGATATAAAGAAAAGTCTAAACTCAAGAAAACAGTGAAAATGTTTTCCCCTGTCAGTTCTCGGCTAGTTTCCATATTTATTTTAAACAAAATGTCTGTGAAGTACATCTATGAGTAGAGTACAGCATGAGCTGTCGTATATTTTAAATTTACCATGAGTCCAGATCACTTGGATCATCAGGCAACGGGTACTTTCCAGAACCCTTGGACCCTGCCTTGGGCAACTTTGGCTTTTGCTTGGCCTTGGATCTTCGAACTGACGACCCAGCTTCTGGCTCAAAGCTACACATTGTAGTCACACCCCTCACATCTGCCTCTATCTTCTCCCTGTTCAGCCCTCTACTGACAAACCCACTGTCGTCTCCACTTGAGCTGTCACTGTCGCTGTCATACATGTTTTTAACTTTCAAATTGTAGAATTTTTGTTCACAAATGGCTTTCAGTATTGAACCGGAAATAATGACAAATCAGCTGTTTCTTATGCGCAAAATTGCGCATGTTTTCTGTTTTTAGATATATTTTCTTTTTTAATGCAATTTTTATTAGAATACAGTTTTATCAACCCACTTTAACAATAGGTATACTAATTTATTATTGTGATGTAGTGTTGTGGATACGTAAATCGTACATTTTCTTCATGGTTGTAAAACTCCAGAAATATGATTTCCGGTATCTGTACTTTCAATTTGCGCATACGGTTCTGAAGTTCAGTCCTAACAACTTTATCGGACAAAATAAGTGTCTTTTTCACATCCATTAATATGGATAACGTTTTAAGATAAGCACAAATGGACACACTCTATCAATCATTCTATAAATGACATAAAACCGTCAGCCATTAAAGGCCCGGGGATCTTCACACATTGATTACCACGGCGCGCGCGCTACATTGTTCACTTTGATGACGCGATACCACGTGACTAAATCTTGAGGTGAAATGAAAAACAACAAAATTCCGATGGAGATTTTTCTCCTAGTTTATTGATTCATTATAGTGAATTGTTGGGTTTGATACTCCTCAGTGCTGTTTCTACCGATTGAGGTATGTTCGTTTTGTCTAAATGTGATGAAATAAGACCTGTCAAATAAGGTCTTTAAGGAATTCATGTTTGAGACGGACCCTAATTTCAATTTGAAAATTCGCCAATTTCCCTTGGAGTTTACTTAAATGCCTTGGGTAACGAATGTACAATTGTATACAGATATATACTATATGTCTATTTGAAAAAACATTTTAGAATTTTTTTCACTTTTTAACAAAATCTATTTCACACTTAAGTGGCTTTGAGTGTGAAGTGTATGGGAGATATGTAAATACATGTGAAGTATGTACCCCGATTACCCCGCCAGCCACGGTACGTATAGTAGGATGAGGTGTATGGTAGAAGGGTAAATACATGTGAGAGTATCTACCCCGTTTACCCCACCAACCACGGTACGTAATATAGTAGGACGAAGTGTATAGGAGATATGTAAATACATGTGAAGTATGTACCCCGTTTACCCCGCCAGCCACGGTACGTATAGTAGGATGAAGTGTATAGGAGATATGTAAATACATGTGAAGTATGTACCCCGTTTACCCCGCCAGCCACGGTACGTATACAAATCAAGAAATCTCCTATGGCAGCGTATACCGCTACACTAGCCGTATAGAATTTCCATATCATCAGTGATTAAGCCAGTTTGTTTGCCATCTGATACCTCTGCAGTAGGAGTCTTGGAAGAGTGTAGCTACTTAACATTGATAAGGCATAAACATGAATACTTAACTGTTAAAATGTCTAATGGATAAACATAGAAACGTCTTGTGTTAATTGAATGTAAAGCTGTGTATAATGCTACATTTTCTAGTCACTAGTACCCCACACAAGTTTTCGATAATAACTTTAACAATTGATTTGAACACTCGAGATCTACTATTTGTTATTGAATTTAGCACACATGAACTCGAGGCATTTCCACATTGGAAATTTTTCATTTTTATTTTACTTCAATAACAATAAAAAAAGCAACTGAACCAAGGATGTCATTAATCCTTTTTAACAAATTTGATGTCATAAAATCAAAATTAAGAATTGTTAAAGTAAGTCTTTATGGTCTTTTTGAATAGTCTATTGGTAGTCAGTATATAGACAGCTATAAGCTTTATTTATGAAATATACTTGCCCTTGATATCTAGTTGTCCCGGTCATAAATGTACTACAATTTTAACATCATATTCATTGAAACAATGTAACGATGGTAATATGTGTAGCATATGGCTAGATTTAATTTAAATAGTAGGCTTATAGGGGAGAATGTTCAAATCATGGGTCAAAGTTATTATCAAAAACTTGTGTGGGGTACTATAATACTGACCCTACAGTAAACTCACACTCTCTGTACAGTACTTGTAAAATGTCTAAATATGACAAAAAAATTGCAACCGAAAAGGATATAAAGATCACAACAAAAGTTTGCAAAGATAACTATCCCGTATATTCTAATCAACCCCTACTGAAATCAATCTACTGAAATATTTGTCACTCAAAATAGATTAAAAAAACGGTTGGAAATATTTGAGATAGCAGCATTCTTTCACAGTACTCTACATTAAAATTACTGATAGATCCAAGGCTTTAAATAGTACTATTAAATGATAAAGTTTGCTACATTTAAAATGTAAAGTGTAACATATTCTCTTAAAAGCAGTTTGGTTTCTTCTATTACTGTAAACTCTTTATATTAGCTTAATCTTTCAGAAATAAATCAACAAAATCTCATCCTTTTAAATAATCTAACAATGATTTTTTAACAGTATGCATTCTATTTATTTATAATTTGTCAAAAGACTAAGGGAAATAAGATAAACAACATGATTATCTCAAAAACCTAAAAGATAAGAAATGAAATATATTTCCCTGTGTACAGTAACACAGATCTGAGTTCTACCAAAACCCTAATTCTGCTTTGAGAAGCAACTTCAGCAACTTGCTGGAATATGAGACCACATTAATGTTTGCGTTGACAGCTTAATGGGCCTAGATAGGGATTTAACATGCAGCATAGTTATACTGGTAGCGGTATACGCGTTTCTTGATTTGGTAGGATGAAGTGTATAGGAGATATGTAAATACATGTGAAGTATGTACCCCGTTTACCCCGCCAGCCACGGTACGTATAGTAGGATGAAGTGTATAGGAGATATGTAAATACATGTCAGAGTATCTACCCCGTTTACCCCGCCAACCACGGTACTTACATGACTTATAGTAGGATGAAGTGTATAGGAGATATGTAAATACATGTGAAGTATGTACCCCGTTTACCCCGCCAGCCACGATACGTATAGTAGGATGAAGTGTATAGGAGATATGTAATTACATGTCAGAGTATCTACCCCGTTTACCCCGCCAACCACGGTACGTAATATAGTAGGATGAAGTGTATAGGAGATATGTAAATGCATGAGTATGTACCCCCGTTTCCCCGTACCCCCGTTTACCCCACCAATCTGTGCGAAGATGTGAAACAGGGGAATTAGGGCGAATTAGTAAGCACTACGTGCACGTGTAGAGGAGAATACACAGGCAAAACGGATGTGGGCGAGATTCGCGCATGTAAGGGAGTTAGTACTACGTATACGTGCGCACGTGTGGAGGAGATTTCACAGGCATAACTGATGTGGACGAGATTTGTTGAATTTTCGTGACTGCTTGCATCGGTCACGATGTGTATAGGTACCTGACACATGTTGGACATTGAGCTTAGAGACAAATGGTGTGTCATAGTCACGGTTCGTGGAATTACACAAGAGGAAACTACATATGAATTGATGTGGCTTGCATGTGAAATGTAGAAATAAAGTTTGAGTGTATGTAATGAGAATTCCCAAATTTGTAGTGGACACAAGGAGAATTTCCATGGGTGTCCTAAATGGGAAAATGCTCTAAGTGTCGTGACTGCTTACATAGAACCTCTACCGCGTGTTACTTTCCCGCCATTTTGAATTCTCGTAATTGAGAAGAAAACTCGCGAGAAGAAGCATGGCCGATAGTTTCCAAAATATATTTGATTTACAATAAATTGGGTCTTATAACATCAGTGAGTAGATACAGGCAGCCAGATCCTGGTATTAGTGTAAGTTTTATCTCGCGCTTAATTCTGGGTTATTTATACTTCTGGAAATAAGCTCCCAATTCGAATTTTGATTTTTGACGAAATGAAAAAGTTCAAAAATTCAACTTTCACTCAAACTTTGAGTTGAATAGATCCACAGGAAGGTGTATCAAGTCCTTTTTGGGCATAGCAGAGCTTTTTTGCCCTTCCCCACTCTCAGAATTAGAACAGATTTATTCCTCAAGGATCCCTCCAAATTTGCACTGAAAAAATAGGTGAAATCAAAAGTAGATTTTATACAAGATAGCCTCCTTATTCAAAATTCGACCTAACTTGCACAATTTGGAGGAAAAATACTCTCAAACTCAAATAAACAAAAACAGCACGACCTGACAGATACTTCATTATGTTTTTAATCTTGCAAAAAAACTAGGCTTCAAAACGCGGCCGCAGTGCTGCAAAATAAAAAATTAAAAAAATTTCCTGACTCTGTAACTCTTCAATGACACGAGGTACTACAAAAACTCGTAAATCTGAGAAACTTATCTAAAATATTTCTACACACACTTAGCTGATTTGGTATACAGTCATACCTTGGAAATTACAAATGTTTTATTTGCTCATTTTTCAATTTTTTAAATGGCTGAGTTGGACACCTCAACAAATTTCCAGAGGAATATGTATGAAGTTCATTTTGGTAGTCTACTGGGTCATTTGGTCTTCCCCATCCTTAGTATTAATATAATAATACTACTTAGTGTGAAAACGGACAAATAACCCAAGAAAGGACCAAAATAGACTTGATACATCTTCCCCTGGAAAATTTGTTGGGGTGTCCTGCTCAGCCATCCCCCATATTAGAATTTAAAAAAGATGGAAAAATGAACAAATAAAACATGTTGTTGAATTTTATTTATTTCATAATGGCAGTAAATTTGATCAGACTTTTCACGATGTACATCGCAATGTGCATCAATGTTTACTTTTGAAAATTGTACTTCTGGAAATTATTATGGCACATTGCGACAATACTAGTCATTATGGACTCCTCCACCACCTGACCACACCTCTAAAAGAAAGTGGGTATTGCTTTCCCATATTGATAAGACTCAATGAATTGTTTTTTAGAATTCAACTGCTTAGTTACATGCTGATATGGACTTGGGAAATTTAAACTTCGAGGGATTTGATGATGATGTCTCAAAGGAAAGCGATGACCTGACAGTTGATTCTACGTAAGTACATATACAAAAAGGATATGAACGGATGGATTTTTAACTTTTAGATGTTAATCTAGCTCAAAATGGACTAGCTCAAAAAATATTGTGTGGTTTTATTACTCTTACATAAAATATAATACATGTACACCATTTGGTCCTGGCTGGTACCATGGGCTAACTAAAATACAAGTTTACCATTTTTTCCAGATTATCAACTTCTGGGGGTACAAACTTTACATCAAGTATCAGTAACACCAGGTCATCTCTCAGTCAGCCTGAAATAATCACTGATATATCACAGGGTAAGATAGCATGATTTTATATCTGTTCATTATGAAGGACACATGTATACATGACAAGAAAGCTCCATTGCTATGACATCATGGCAAATTCTCTGAAACGGATACTCATAGCAACAGTGTTTATGTTGTTAATTTGTTTATAAAGTGTTGTCACAGTGACAAGTACTTGTGGAATTTTTAAGATGAAGGATGACTCTATCTTTATGAGGTAAGAATGGGACAATCTGAGTAAATGATATAAGATCACGACCTTTGTGGCACAAACATGAGTCAACATCATATATTTAAGAAATCTAATGATTTGCGAAAGAATAGTTCATGGGATGCCCAAATCACCCATATAATTCTGCACCTTTGCTACATAAACAGAATATCTAAAAACAGTTAACATCTTCTCTTTTACCCATTCGGTTTTTATCTCAAGAAATAACTTTAAAAGTAAGAAATCACTATAAATGTGACAATAAACATGTATAATGAAAAATGAATGCAAGAAATAATGATAAATTGAAGAAATCCTAAAATGACATTTTTGGACATCCTGTATATCCAACCATTTTCAACTGTTTAGATTGCAGGTTTTGAGTCTTTATCAGAAAATGCCTCCCATCACATATTGTGAATGTTATTAGATTTCAGAAGAACAAAACTAAACAAAATATTAAATAAGAAGTACAAAATATGATGATAGGCTGTACAAGTACTTTTTGTTACTAACCTTCTTGACCCTGTTCGTCTTTGTAAGACTTAAAAGAAAAACATTTCTACATTGCTTGTATTTTTGAGTACTAAGTACTTCATTACAGTGACCTAATTTCTTAAAAAGGATTCTCAATTTGTCACTCTGTGACTGTTCATCTCAATTCCATAACATTTTTTATTCCTACTTAAAGGCCCACTTTGCGTATTTTCAACATTTTGTGGCAAAATAAAGTCTTACCTTTGAATTTCATAGTATTTCCAAATTCCAAATAACACAGTATTCTCTTTGTTAATCAACAAATGGTGGTATTATCTAAAAGGGACAGTTTACAAAAAGAGCTTATGTTATCTCTTCTTGTTTCCTCATGCATATCTCATCTCTTCATATTATCTCATATTTTCATGTTATCTCATGCATATGTTATCTCATCCCTTCATGTTATCTCATGCATATGTTATCTCATCCGTTCATGTTATCTCATGCATATGTTATCTCATCCCTTCATGTTGTCTCATGGATATGTTATCTCTTCATCTCATTTCTTGTTATCTCATGCCTATTTGATCTCATATTTTCATGTTATCTCATATTTGTTATCTCATCTCTTCATGTTATCTCTTAGATATGTTCTCTTTACACTATTGTTTGTCTTAATTTCAGTGCAACTATTAGAACAGGAATCTCAGCCACCACAGGAAGTTACAATGCAAGTCATTGAGCCCACAGGAGAGGTAAGGTCCCATAATCCCTCAAGATTGGACATTGGAACTTTGATTGGGCAAAACATCCACCATGTTTATGCTCTTTTTCAAATAAAGTACAAAACTATAAACTATTTTTAGCTACTACACAAGAAGTATTATCAATAAATTGATATCAGAATCTTTCTGGTTTTGATACATGAATTTCTATTTGCAGTTTTTAGATTATCCCAAGATTCCTTGGTTTATTTGATGTTAGTTCAATGAGGTCAGTGTTCATTTGTCCATTTAAAGACCTTTTGTAAAGTATTGGGCCTTAAATGTGTATACATGTCTACATTGAGACCCTCATTCAAATTCAATATCTCCCGGCCTGGTCTCAGTTATTACAAACTCTTTATTCAGAAAAGGCGTGGGGGATGGCCGAAGGGGAAGAAACGGAAACACAAGGACAGTAATGCCCCCAAACAGCCTCTAACAGGCTATGTAAGATTCCTTAATGACCGCAGAGAAAAATTGCGCAGTGAAAATCCTACTATTGGTTTTGTCGAGCTAACAAGAATTCTAGCTGCTGAATGGAGTGATTTAGCCACAGATGTAAAGCAGGTATAAATAAATTATTCTATTTCTTGAAAACATTGATTTTAAAGTTAAAAACCATGATGCTAAATGCCATCATGTCATGATGTGTCTTATATTTCAGAAATACTTTCTCAAATTGAATAACAGGACAGTTAAATGGTATTTTCTGAAATTTTGATTATTAGTGGCCATCTTGAAAGTTCCTTCTTGAGCAGAGCTTGTTTGTCCCTAGGCATCAACATATAAAATGTAAACCATATCCATTAACTAGCATTTGAGTTACTAAAGATTACATTCCTTTTCCTCATTGCGGAGACTGATATCTATGGACAGCTTTCCTAGATCCCCCTCGAACTTTGTTCGGTGGGATAATAACTTTAAAACTATTCATAATTTCTGTGTGTTCTCAGGGGTACCTGGATGAGGCAGAGAAAGACAAGGAGCGCTATTTACAGGAGCTTGAGGCTTATCATCGCACAGATGCTTACAAACTCTTCAAGAAGAAACAAAACATGGAGAAAAATCAACAAAAAGGTATTATTTTTTTGTTATATATTGATATGTGTGAATTATAAGAATTTCATACTTTGATTGTTTTTATTTATATGGGTGATGCTTCTTTGCGTTGTGTCAGATGTTTCACTCACATCAAATATGAATGTGCAAGTTGAGTGCAGTGCAAGTAGAGTGCAGTGCAAGTTGAGTGCAGTGCAAGTAGAGAGATAATTCAGGGGGGGACATTTAGTTTCTTTTTAAGGCAACTCTACAGGTGGGGAGGGTGCAATTCTTTGGATATACCTGATGATTTCTTGTGATATATTGTGTTTCAGTTATGAAAGAACACAGCCCTAATGATCTAGAAGCTACCACCAATGAAGATGTGAATCTCACTGAAGTTATGGGCTTTGACATTCCAATCTTTACTGAGGAATTTCTGGAGCACAACAGAAGTAAGAATTTAGGCTTTTTCAGTTACTGTAGATAGGGTTAATTTGGCGGTACTTAATTTTGGCATTTTTGGCATATTGGCGGCTATTTAATTTGGCAGACATTAGGGCTTGGACATTGCTCTGACACCACAACTTCCATATACATTGGAACGAAGTACAAATTGTTTCACCCATTCCTTCAATTCAACTACTATTATCTTGTAATTTATTATTGAAGTATTCCCCTGATTTAAGTGGCATGTTCTGATAATCACCCTCATCATTTCCAGATTTTGTAAAAACTAAACCGGACATGACTTAAATGAAATTCCTGGGGATACTCTCTAAATTTTGGTGAAGATGTTAATTGATGGCTTTTTCTATTTCGCTAAATTCGCCAAAATAAAGTGGGTGCCAAATTAACCCAATCTACAGTATTTATTTTTAATATCAAAATTACATAACAACATGTACATGTGCATTACAATATTAATGTGAAAAATTATTTATGAAATAAAAGGTCCAAGATCTAGTTGCTCCTTATCAATTGGTGGAACTGAGACAATATTAACTTTTTTCTATAAGTTGCTGAAAACACTGTGCTAAGGGCTGATGTGAAAAAGAATTAAATCAAGTAAACAGCATATGATGTTACACCCCAGGGGTTGTATGTAAGCATAACAATCATGCTACACCCCATGGGTTGTATGTAAGCATAGCAATCATGTTACACCCCATGGGTTGTATGTAAGCGTAGCAATCATGTTACACCCCATGGGTTGTATGTAAGCGTAGCAATCATGTTACACCCCATGGGTTGTATGTAAGCGTAGCAATCATGTTACACCCCATGGGTTGTATGTAAGCATAGCAATCATTTTACACCCCATGGGTTGTATGTAAGCATAGCAATCATGTTACACCCCATGGGTTGTATGTAAACATAGCAATCATGTGACACCCCATGGGTTGTATGTAAGCATAGCAATCATGTGACACCCCATGGGTTGTATGTAAGCATAGCAATCATGTGACACCCCATGGGTTGTATGTAAGCATAGCAATCATGTTACACCCCATGGGTTGTATGTAAGCATAGCAATCATGTGACACCCCATGGGTTGTATGTAAGCATAGCAATCATGTTACACCCCATGGGTTGTATGTAAGCATAGCAATCATGTTACACTCCAGGGATTGTTTATGTTGTCTTTATTTGTGAAAAAGGAAAAACTGACATGATTATTTTTTGTCTTTCATTTAAGAAAGGTTTGTCGAAAAATCTTGAATATCATTGTAATATGGATTTGAGATTTTGGAGCATGTTTGGTTCAAAGTTCAGAGATTCTGTGGACTTGCATCTGTGTCAGATATGTGAACAAAAGACATGACATTTTAATGTATTTTTTGTTGTGCAATAAGTATTCTATTTCATAAAAAACTATATTTTGTATACAAGAAATAGATGGCTTCATGCTTTAGCATAAAAGCAATTATCCCATGGTTGCATGGATATAGATCAAATAGCACGTAAAGATGTACAGGGTGATCACTAAGTTCTGGGAATTTATCTGTCATTTCATTATTTTTCCACCAATTTACGTGGATCAAAATATCATATGTTAGCATATGTTCCCCAAACCATCGAAATTTTTTAATTTTTTTTTTCACAAATCAAATTTTCTTTTCAAAATTTCTTTTTCAAATGGGCAATGATTTCCCATGGGATAACTGGACAATCCTATTTTCAATATCAATTATATCCACTCACGGATATCAATATCTTCACTCATTCTTTGTATGTCATACATGTTGCCATTGGTGTTTTTAGTAGCTAGTTTAGTCTTAGGTCAATTTTGTAGATTGTAGTTTTTAGTTTTTTTAGTGACTAATATGTCATTGTAATGACATCAGAGAGTCATATATCCATATATAGAGCCATATATCCGATTTGCAAATCAGCAAATCCAAAGGCCCCAAAGAATGTGTAACATAATTGTGGTATTACATGTATTATCCACTTGTATTCACAGGGATTTTGGCAATTTTTTGAATCCCAAATATGCATGACACCCTTCTAATCAGGTCATGTTTCTTCCATACCCATCAAATAGGGAATAATATAGAATGTTATGGTCAGAGTATTCTAAAACTGCCATTTTGGAGTGTTGCCCTAGCTACTATGATGCTATGTTACCATAGCAACCATAAATCTTACATCTAGTACATCATGTGAAAATTTGAATGGTGAATTATTAGCAACACCAGTCCTGCTACTTTTGGAATCAATTTATGTTTATATACCAAGAATAGAAGCTTAAAAGTGACTAATTTCATATTTTGAGGGAGGTTTTCTTGTATTATGCTGAGTAAATCATGTGGGAGCAGTTTAGAATTCTCTTCTCTGGTATTTCCATTGCCTTAGTTAACGAGATCACTCTCACTCTGAACTTTTACTACCTTTCTAATATTAGCACTGTAGCATCCTAATATATTGCAGTTTTTTTAGCAGTGTGTTATCTCTTAGTGGTGTGCTATATGAAAATGTCTACAGAACATTATTCTGTGTTTGTGAACCATGTAAACATTAATTGACCTTTGCTTTGGAGATAACAAAACAATAAATTGGGGGTTAAGTTTAAGTTATAACCAAATGTTAAATAATTTATTCAGACCTTCGTTATTCAGAAAGTCAGAGATTTTAAACTCAGAAGCCGAATAGAACCAAGAGCTTAAGTTAACACCTTGCACTCATTATAGATGGCATTAACAAGCATCAGAAGAAATGACAACAAATACAGCTGTTATGAAACCAAAGAGTAAATGATTTCCAACAGTATTAAGCATCCTCAGAATGCAGGGTTCCAGACATCATCCACTAAGTTCCTTCCAGGTGGTTGCAAATCATAGAATTAATTTTCCCCGGCCTTACATTACATTAGCTCTGCAGCATATACATTTATATATGTACTATCACACTTGCTTGTAGTGGTGTGGATTACAACTGTATATAACCAGTTTGCTGCTACTAATATTATGTTCATAAGATCAATATTATAACAATATATGAACATTGTAAAAGGATTTATCACAGTTATGATTTCTTGCCCTTTGGAATCTGAATAGTAAAACAGTTACTTCTGGATATTACTACAAATCAGCTTTTGATAAAGAAATGCCTGAATAAATCAAGTAAGGGCTAGTAAGGTGTATCGTGTAAATAAAAACATTTCTAGTTATTACTAATATTGGAGAGAGCCTAATGGATAATAACCTTAGAATGGTCTACAATATTAGTAAAAGTCTAATGCTAAATACTCATGCCCTAGAGAGGATTATAGGTGGCATTAATTAGCATAAGTAGGAATAATCAAAACAAATAGTGCTGAGAAGCAATGCCAAAGCAGTTCAGGACACGACTTTGTCTTGAAATCTCTAAAGAGATTCCCACACAATTGCTAGATAAAAGGGGTAAATCAGAATGCTTAGATTTTATTGATTTTGAAATGCAGTTAAGTAGGAATTACAATCAAACTACTGAATATAGAATAAAGGATACAAATGAATGAAAGAACATAACTATATAATTTGCCAGTTATAATCTTTACAATGGATTCTAACGCAGTCCGCTTTGATGACTTATTGGTGAAAATTGGGGGATTTGGACGCTATCAAAAGTTACTGATATTTGCTATGGTGCTATTTCTAATGGGAAATACCTGGCAGTATTATTTTACTAATTTTGTAGTTGGCAAAATGGACCATTGGTGCAAATTACCTGACATTCCACATGGATTCAACGAAACTATGATTAAAGAGATTATGATTCCAAAAACCCTGAATGAATTTGGGAAAGAAGCCTTTTCACAATGTGAAATGTATGATCATAATATTACGGATTATACCCGAATAAGTAATGCCCATATATGGAATAGTACCCATATTTGGACACTGAACATGACGAGGGTCTCGTGCCAGTATGGATGGGAATATGACCATTCAGAGTTTCATTCAACAATTGTCAGCCAGTATGACCTTGTGTGCGACAATGATTGGATGTACACGCTACCCTCCACATTCTTCATCATTGGTATGTTCATTGGCTCTTTTGTGTCCGGATTCATATCTGATAGATTTGGACGAAAATTGACAGTCATATTATTAATTGTATTACAATTGATAAGTATTACTGGAGCAGCTTTTTCTCCGTATTTCTGGATGTTTCTAGCGTTTCGATGTGTTGTAGGAGCTGCAACAATTGGTTCTTTTGCAACATACTGGGTCCTTGTTTTGGAGGCCATGCCGCCAGTACATCGAGCACATTGTTCTTACTTTGTAGCAGTAGGCAAAATGTTAGACATAACTCTTCCAGCTGTAGCCTATTTCATAAGAAATCATATACATTTGCAGGCAGTTTCAATAGGATTTGTCATCCCTGGACTTATATGTATCCTATTCATACCTGAAAGTCCACGATGGTTACTTTCCCAAAATAGGTATGATGACTTTCGCACTATAGTTGAAAAAATTGCAAGGCTGAACAAGTCCCAAGATTTAGAAAATCTAGGAATTATTACTCCAATTGTTAAGACGGAAATAAAACCAGCAGATGGAACAAAATCTAAACAAAATGGCATCTCTGTGCTTGATTTGCTCCGTTTGCCCAAACTTAGAAAACGTACATTGGGTATATGGCTCATATGGTTCGCATACTGTTTTGCACTATTTACAATGCTATTGAATATCGGTACACTGGTACCAGGTAACATATACTTAAACACTGCACTGGTAATGTGTGTCTCTGATATCCCATCATTCATTACAATCTACTTTGCTTTATTTAAATTTAGCCGTAGATACACCATAGTCTTCTTTTTCTTACTGAATGGACTTTGTTCTTTAATAATGATACCTTTGCTAAAAACTGGTATTCCTATACTTGTGACTATATTCGCTGTCATGGGTACAGTCGCGATAAAGACACTCATGAATGTCATTAACCTTTATACAGGAGAGGTATT